TTCATCTTTGCTATACCGTACCCAGAGATGACTGGCTCATCTCTGTCCCATGTCCCTTCTGTAAAGGAATGTCCAGTTGCCAAGACTGTCAATCTTTACTGGAGAAGACTCATCTTTCTCCCAAGGAGCAGCTGGTGCCTTGGAACTGCTGCTCTTGTGGTAAGCAGTCCCAAGAGGATGTGGTGAACAAGCGTGTATTGCTCAGCTGCCCCTTTAAGAAAGGACTCACTGCCCAGCTGCTAGGAGTGTGGCTGAGTTGTTGGCTTTGGTTACGATCCCATCGATCTCAAGGTGGCCCTACGTGGGGACTGAAGGCGGCGCTGGCTCACGAGCTTAGCCATTTCCACCAACACAGAATTCCTGGGACAAGTGGTTTCTACTTTGGAGCGCCTCAGCAGACATACTGCCTCAGTAAAGCTGGCAGCTCTGTTAGGGGCCAATGGCTTCCCCAGCCACCTTCTGCATCCTTCCTTTTCCTAGTAAACCATTTTATACTAACTCCACTTTAGCACCTGCTTCCTGCATGGCATTAACCAAACTCACTGCCGTCAGGCCCGTTCTCTCATCAACTCTACAAGACAGGGCCGAACCCTGTGGGTTACTCTTCTTCACAGGAGTAGAAAGCTGCTGCTGCTTCCTGTGGAGCTGGTTTTAAACTGCTGACCTTGTGGTTGGCAGCCCAGCTCAGCACCCTTACTCATGACAAAATCAGAGGAGCTGGTTTCCTTCCGAGCCGGACTACTGATTCTCCATCTACATTACTGCTATTAATCAGGTTTAGCATCGGATTTTGCTCAAACGGTGACATTTTATATTTTCTTATTGTCCCCCAAAGCATTAAGTCCCAGCACAGGCGTCAACGAGACACTGGTTTTTTATTTCTTCTTGCTTTTGTTCTTTTACCAGTAAACAACTTAATATATTGCCCTCTATCTGGTAAAGATGTGCTTACTATTTTGGAGCCTGAGGAGCTGAGGACCAGTGTCAGAAGACACCAGCGTCAGCTGGCGCAGTTCACAAAGACAATCTCCTACATCCTAATTTGGTCAGGAAGAGAGGCTTTCTCGACTTTCAAGTCTTGGTCCTAAAAGCTCCCATGAGCAGCCACCTAAGGTGCAAATCCTGTCTGTCTCTACCTCCCGGGAAGCGAGGGGTGACGAACACAGAACAGCACATGGAAACCACTAACCCTGTACACTAACGGAGCCCGCAAACATCTCTCCACAGCCTGGGGCCCAGGAGAACCTGATGGTGCCTGGCTGCCCCTATCCACTACTCTGATAAGGATCACCTTCAAAGGTCCTGGAAGAATGAGGGGAAAACCCTCAAAATGATCAACCCACTGACTGATTAGGTAACGAAGGGTGGGATCCTTGAGATCATGGCCCTTGCCCTTCAGGTCTGAAACAGAACTCGCTGTGCAGGAGCAAAATGAACTGCTGAAGACCAAAGGGCTGCCCTCTCCAAGGAGCAGGTTCACAGGTGAGAAGGAATGGACATAAGCACAGGGAAAGGGGGACGAGCAAGGGGATGGTAATGCATGAGGTAAAACAACATGTGTAAGAATTGTGGAATGGAAATTTTGATCTGCTCTGTAAGCCTTCACCTAATTCTCATACATGTGAAGGCGCCTTCCATTAGAAAACCTCCCAATTGCGCCACCTGGTGGTTAGTTGACAGCAATTGTCCACTACACAATCAACAGCTTAGGAAGAACAGAACTTTGGAGGCCATATGGACCTTTGTGTGACTAGTTTGACACGTTTTAAAACTTGGGCAAAAGGGTGCAGTATAGCAATAATCAAACTCACAAATTTCCTCTAGTTCTTAAACTCTTCCTCCCCTCAACTACCATGATCCCAATTCTACCTTGCAAACCTGGTTAGACCAGAGGATGCCAGCAGTACAGATGGGAACTGGAAACACAGGGACTCTAGGATAGATGAACCTCTCAGAACCAGGAGTGACAGTGGCGATACCAGGAGGGAAGGGGGGTAGAAAGGAGGAATCTATCACAAGGATCTACATATAACCCCCTCTCTGGGGGAT